TAATCTTTTTAATGGGCCACAGAATTGATATGTGGGTTTTTAATTTTTGTATGGACTTATTTTTATGAGCAAAATATTATCAGAAAGTGAAAATTACAAAATTCAAACATGCTTCCATGCCAGGACATCCCCGGATATAATTGCACGTTTGCTGTAAAACATGTGTAAGGAACTTTGTGTGCTACCTTAAAAAGCGAACACCTTCTTCAGTGGAAAGTCTTTCCCCTCAGTTCCTCCTTATGAAGCAGAAACTTCTTATAACTGAGCAGAAACTATTGAAAAGAGCATTAATGGTGTCACACATTACTGGGCCTGTGTGTGTTTCAGACATCTGAGCCACATCTCTGATTTCTTAAAGCTCCTCAGGCCTTTATGACGCAGTCAACATTATAGAAATGAGACAGATGGTCTCATCTGCAGTACAAAGAAATCACAGTTATCTTAGTTATTAACTGTAATCTTGATTATTTAGCATCATTACTTATTAACTTACCAAACACCAAGTGTTTGTTATGTGAAAGTGAAAAGAGAAACCAATAAATAAACAAACAGAAGAAATGGGTATGCACACAGGACCATCTGTTATTGAGTCAGGCGTCTGGCTAGCGAGTGTTTCAGAAAAAGCCCACTTTGAAAGGGCGACCACTGTTCGCTATTGGCCGTCAGAGTCCAGATGGACAGATGAGTGGAGAGCCGACCAGCCAATCAAAACTTTGGTCAGGCATCACCAAAAAGGACCCGGAGAGAGATCGGAGACGAAGGCAGCTCTACCAGTTAATAATCCTTCACAGGTTAACTTACATAAACATCTTACTTCCTCTAAGCAGATCTTGTTCACCAAAATCTTTCCATCTATTCATCACCAAACCAGTCCAAACACGTCTTCATGATTTGTTCCTTTCAAGAAATTCATAAATGTTGGTCTTTTTTTTCTTTTTTCTGATCAAAGGACACTCAAAGTGTATCAGTATCATTTTACTTGAAGACAGAGAACTGCAGCTGTTTTCTACTGATATGTCTAACAAGGTTTCCTGTTTTCTGCACTGAAACACAAGACAAACTCAGAGCTTTGTAGGGAAAAAGAACAGACAAAAGAGAAACTGTTTTATCTCCAGTTTTATCTCCATTATCATGCTTTCATAATCACTGAAAGCCAAGATTATGATTAAGATTAACCTCTGATTAATGGTCCAACCCTAGATTCGGATGTTCTTTATCTCTGGATGTGAAAACATAAACTGTGTGGATAATATCCTGCTCGCTCACAGCAGAAACCATCAGGCTTCAGTTTTCCTCAGTTTTGCAACTTTGTAACTTGATATGAACTCTTTGTTAACTCTGTATTATACTTTTTAAAAAACATCGCCCAGGAAGCTAAATCTGTGAAAACATCTCGATAACATCTCAATCATCCAGGTAAGGAAGTCCCCAAAACACGAGAGGAATGAGAAGCACCAGCTGAGTATAGTGTGAGAGGACAAAGTGACAGCCCTGTTTGTAGTTTTCTCCCTGACTGATTGATTTTGTGCATAAACACAGATGAAACCACAACACAGAGATTATCTTTGACTTATAAAAATGAATTCCCCATCCCAGCAGCGCTGGAAAACACTGGAAATATTTCCTGCTACCCAAAACAGCATTCAGGACTTTCCATGGACACACTCAGTACATATAAACCATAAACTGGGTGCAAGTCAGCTGGTGATCAACAGGAGTAACTCGGATGCTTCTGGATTTATTTATGAGGCTATCATGGAGTTCAGTAAGTGTGCACATACAGGGCTCTAGAGTGCGACTTAATTTGATCACATATGCAACTTCATTTCGCAATGGTGCGACAAAAAAGAATCCTCTCCAAGTCTGAAAGTCTCTGCGTGGTCAACAACAGACACACATTATGCCCATATCGTTGTCTAAACCAATGAGAGATAGTCAGGGGCGGGACCTCTCTGATTGGCCTGATTGGTCCCACACACGTGTATGTTTGAAAGTGCAGGCAGATAGAGAGAGGTGAGTAGCTTTAATAAAGCGATATCGATTCATTAAATCCTGAATCTACTTTTAAATATAAACGTATTTTGCCAGAAACGCCAGAATCTTAAAATTCACAAAACTATTTGAAAAACAACCAAACAGCTAAAACAGCAAATGAGAGCAGAATCAGTGAGATGTCGGCTTTTTTTTTTTTTTCAAAAAAAGACCTCTGACAAGAAAGTCTCATGTCTGCTGTTTAATAGCACAGAAACGTAAACTTTTTTAAATAAAGCCAAATTGCAAACCGCTTAGCTGTGTCTCTAATAGAACCTCTGTAACTTTGCTCTGCTTCACTTCAGCAGCATCTTTATATGTTCACTCATGGTTTTCTTCAGTTTTGTTCTACTGCAGAATATTTTTAAGCTTATCTGCTATAAAAAGCCAGGCCAGGAAAATATTCTTCATGTTTTTCTGTGTTTTATCCTCAGTTACTTTGACACAAAGGCATGTGGTGTGATGCTTACACCTCTGATAAAGTCTCACAAGTGTCAGTACTGATAAATGATCAGAATTATAGTATTTCTGACTGTCTGAGTCAAAATTGAATGGAATTGAATCGGGACTTTATTAATCGGAATCGAATGGATTATAGTGAAACCAGTGATGATACCCAGCCCTAGTGAGAAGCCTAGGCCTGACATAAGTGGATGTAGCTGTGGGTAATGAGAAAAGATGAAAAGACCTATTGATAAATTTTTTGTTAAGTTAAGGCCTGACCCATCAACCTCTGAAGGCTGAAAAAGCACAGTGTATCCAGAAAACACATTATATGAAGCGATAAATGCACTGCCTATGTGTCCCCTCTCCCCACTGCCTTTCAGCAGCAGGCAGCAGCAAACAGGTCGTCAGAGGAGGCCGAGATGATGATTAAGTTTAACATTGTCTACAATATTGTACTTTAAGCACAAGCACTTTTTGAGTAACTTCTCTTTCTTGTAGAAATGTGCTCCAAATAAAGACAAGATCAATATTGTCTGTATGGACAGCAATTAAAAAAATAAAATAAAAAGTGAACATGTAAAGCAGTGGGGTTCAAATGCAGTTGAAAAATTTGGGTGCACCTAACTTTTGTGCTGGTGCTCCTAAATAAAAAGTAAGTCTAGAGCCCTGACATGGACAGACAAATTTGGTGCAGTTTGGGAGGGTCACATGTCGCGTGTCTTGAGGCTGCTTTCAACAATCGACAATAGAAAATATTAAATAAACAAATTAACGCTGCCATGACAACAGAAGCATCATCATAAAACTGCCCCTGGCACCATAAACCAAACTGAGCTCATCAAACGCTGCAGGACTTACCCGACAAAGGTGACAGGACCATGTTCCCCGACCTCTGGACTTCATCGAACTTACTGAAGATGACGTTCAGCCTGCACACAGAGACGGAGCAGACAGTCAGAAGCAGCTGGTGTTATGATGTCAGGAAAGCACCAAGTTAAAAAAAAAAGAGGCCTTGCTGGCTTCAAGCGTGCAGAGTGTCCTCTGAAAAACAGAAAACTGGCTCATTTCAGGCTCCTGGGAGAGTGTTTAAATAGGCCAAAGTAACAGCACAGAGTCTACAGCCTCCAAAAATACACAGACGACGGCAGATATTATTAGAACAAACACCAAGAACCACAATGTCACTGTCACATCTGCTGACCTGATGGAGGAGGAAGCACCCATCACTCAAAGGACGAGCTTTATTGGTAACAGTCAGTTACTGTTTGTGTGATTAAAATGAAAACTATTTCCTGATTATTCAATTAATAACTTAATTATCTGCCATTTAATCAGACACTGATCATCAGATTAAAGCTGAAGTTAAAAGTCAGTTAATTAATAAGACCATCACTGCCAATCTAAGCAGTGAAAAACCCAAACATCTAACCACAGGAGCCTGAGATGAAGCATTCCCTCCTCTGAGTTTTCACTAATTCACTTTGCTTGTTGAGGTTTTTCATTAACAGCTGTAACTTCCAGCAGACAGCCACTCTTCCTCTATAGCTCTATCTCATTACTGACATAAAACACATGTAAGTGAAACTCTGGCGTAACAGGACACTCTGCTGATCAATGAGGCTTCATAGATTTTCTAATATTTTCTAGATTAAATAACCAATCAATCAATAAAAAACTAATCAGAAACAGTGTTTTTAAAGGGCTGTGAATGCCTTTCCTTCTAATGTGAAGAACAGTTATTCAAAAGGCTGTCACTTTTCTACATGTAACTGAGTAATGTGAGTGTGCACCACCAGCAGTACCACAGAGCCCTTCACATGATGAGATTTACAGGGAGCTTTGAACGCACCGTGACTGAGGCAGGCCCTTCTTTCCCAGGTCGATCCGCACTCGCTCTCCGACGTGCCGGTAGATCTCCACCAGGCAGTTCATGGCGCCATCACGCACCTGTGGGCCGACAGGTAAACACATTACTTGAACACAAAGAGATTGCTTGTTTTAAATCATCCTGAATATGTGGTCGACACTTTAAAAACAATTAAAATCATCTCCCATGATGCTCTTTGGCTGCTGTCACAGCAGAAAAACACATGACTGTGATGACATGTTTAACGCTCCAGGTGTCTTTCTTTCTTTACTTTGTGTCCTGGTGCAAATCCATCTGTGTGTGTATCAGCATTTACAGTGACGTGTCCACATTGATGTTCTCACTCTTATTTTGAAAGAAGCTCTACGTTACACCGGTTTAAATCGTTCTCTTTGTTTTCGTCTAGATGCAGATTAAAAGCAACAATAAATACACACCGACTTTAAACTAAACATCTGAACTGTGTTCAAAGCTGTGACTTTTTTCTCTCGCAACTGATTAGTGATGAAATCAAACAAAGACTATAGACTTTAAAATCTGATAAGGGTAGCTGAAGGCCTCACTGAGCATGCGTGAGTGTGTTTGGCTTTGGAAAGGGAAGTTCATGGGCACGGCTTCCTGTCCTGAGGAGGAAGTGCGATTCCGGCGATGACGAACCAATCAGTAAACGGCAAACAGAGAGGGGAGCAGACAGATGATAGCTGAGGATCCTGATGCAGAGCTGGAGGATCACAGACTTCATCCCTGTACAGCGGTGTGGGTCTGACATCAGCTAAAGCAGGTCTGGTGTAGTGTAATGTTTGAACTCCACCAGCAGAGGGCAGTCAAACACCAAGATTACTGCAGATTAAAGAAACTGTTCTCCAGCTGGATGTGGAGGAAGTTGGCTGACCTGCACAGTACAGCTGTTTAAAGCCATCACACGACTGCCGCTCAGCTGCTGTCCTGAGTGTTAAGTCCTTTCACTTGTTTCTGAAGCACTCCAGTATGCAAGTCTCAGATACTGACTGCATATGAACCACTACAGCCCCTCAGGCCTGCTAATCTCTGCTAGATGAGCCAGAGTTTAGCAGTAAAATGATGACTGGTGAGGGGGTTTTAAGTTTTCACACAACGGCTGGAAGCAGCAGAAATCTTTCAACCTAAAACATCCTCAGCCTTACTTTATTAAGTAGCAGCTTGTCTTTTTAAGACAGCATTATTCTTTTCACTGATTCACTGCTGAATTATTGCACATTTTAATATATTTTCTGTCTTTTTAAAGTAATTCATCTAGCGTTACCTGGTTTGATGTGAGAACATGTCTGAAGCGGACATTTTCCAACTTCCTGTGGAAAACAATCCGACTCGATCCTCAAGAAGCTGCTCACAGTGCATGTGTGAAAGCGGCTCAAACCACAGTGTAACCTGGTGTGTGTGTGTGTGTGTGTGTGTGTGTGTGTGTGTGTGTGTGTGTGTGTGTGTGTGTGTGTGTGTGTGAGAGCAGGCATTGTACCTGGCTGGTGGGGTCTCCGAGGAGGCTGCAGATGTGAGGAACGATTTTACTGAGCGTCAGACTCTGAGAGCCAAACCTGAAAGATCAAAACACAAAACTGACTAAAGTCAAGTAAAACTGGAGGTGAGCTCAAAGACACATGACATCATCAGTACGCTTCCTTTACTATGAATAAAACTTCCAGTTTGTGCTCTTTTATTTTGAAAATCACCCACACACTCATTTCTGCGTTTTTTTAAAAGCAAAAACAACAAAAGCGTCTCTAGCTTCTCGCACGTGAAGGTTTGCAGCTTTTCTTTTATCCCATGAACCAGTTTTAGGTTTGAACTTTTGAAATAAAAATCAGATGTGACAGTTTTATATCTGAAGCTGTGATAAACCTCTCTGAATATTTCCTGAAACTTTAGAGCTAAATAAACAAACAAAGAGTTAACAGAGTCCCAAATATAAGCGCCAAACCTGCTGTTACATTATAAATCAGTTACTGCTTTCAATAATATTAATAACTTACACGTTTAAAGTTGAGATGAGACACAGGCAGAGTCCCTCTCTGGTCCTGTTGTTCTTGTGCTTGAATCCTCCCATCATTCGCTCCCACACATACTGAACACAGGGAGAAGACAGAGAGACATTAACATGTCACCTGTAACGTTATGGTGACGCTCTGTTGGAGGACGACACAGTGGTGGATAAATCCAAGCATGCAGGTGGAAATGTGAGTGTTAGACTAATTTACTTTTCTGTGAGTTTAAATTTGAATTTAAATGCCTGATGGCAAAATTTCTCCTGTGCCGTCTTTTTTCCCTGTAGTTTGCAGAGTTATGACACCAGATGTTATAGGTCAGCACCACCATGAGGTTATTATATCGTGCAAAACAGTTGTTTGAATGAAATATCAGCTCCCGAGATGCACTTAAATTCAACAAATGTTGATGGTAATTGAACATATTTCTGCTAAGGTGGATCTCCTGTGACCAAAGGTGTGAAAAAGGAGATAAGATGAAGAGTGAGTGTACCTGTGGGTTTGCAGCCTGGTCCATGATCTTCAGCAGAAGTGCCTGGTCCTGCTCTCGGACTTGATCCTTGGCGTCTCCCAGTCGATCGATAAGACTGGGCAGGACTGAAACAGGAAGCGAGAGTTGGTGTTTACAGCCTGCAGTGATATCACAAAGAAAGCAAAACCTCCATGTTTGGATATTAACGCAGTGTTTCTCAAACTAGGAGAAATATAGAGAGAATCTAAGCTTTGGTCAGGAAAATAAAATCATCTGTTGAAGCTGAAACTGTGGGGTGTGAACTCTGAGAACTGAATCAATTTTCTTATTGCTGCACTCGTGTCATCTGATTATAGAGATGACTTCCATTACTTCCATACAAGCACAGACAGTAAGTTAAGTGAAAGACTGAAAATAATGGCTGTGATATAAACATTAAGTCTACGGAGGATTATTAAAGTTTAAATAAGAGGAGCACAGAGTAAAATGGGATTAAAATCTGTGAGCCACATGAATGAAATCCTTCCTGTATCGGTGGTTTTATCATAGTAACAGTGAGGAATGGGAGGAACTGTCTAATGCAGACAAATAAATACATTTGAAATCAAAAGTACTTCCTCACAACACTTCAAAAATAACATAAAACGCGTGTTTGGCCACACTGTATCACAGAGTTTGGCTTAAAGTTTCAAATAATTTTTGTAGAGGTGAGCACGATGTGTGAGAAAACTAGTTAAAAAAATTCTGCTGAACTCAAAGCCTTTAAAAAATAGTCTGTATTCAGAAAGACACAATTAGACAAACATGACACGTGTTCATGATGCTCAGCCTTTAAATACTAAAACTACAAAAGAACCAGTTAAACACAGGAGAAGACATGATGATGGACACAAACCCCTCTACTAGAAATAAGGTCACACATTTGGCTCTAACAGTCAGTCTGAGAAGCTGGTTCCTGTAAACGTTTTTAACTGTTTGCAGTGTTTTCTCTTTTACTGATTCAAACTGTTGTGTGTTTAATGTGAGTAGCAGGCTCTTTTCTCTCTAACAGGTCTCACTATCACTTTATAAACCCTCTTGCTGGTGTCCTTCTATCACACACCATCGTGTAAATGTAAGAAAACACAGTTCTTTCATTTTTAAGTGTGTTTTTTATAATTGCAGTGTTTGATATTTTAGTATATGTAACTATCATTCCAGCCATTTCCTCCTATGAAAAACAATAAAGTAACATTAACCTTAAATAATAATATAAATTACATTTAATACGCACATGTAGAGATTTGCAATGAAAACATAAAATAAAAGACACTCAAGGTGCATCAAAATGTAAATTAAATATTTTTAATTTGGGAAAAATGTAAAAAATACATATTTATATACATTTTGTAACATTTCTAAATATTTAAGAAAATAACAGATTTTTTTAATGCACAAAGTCTTATTTTAGTATAAATACATCTATCTAAAACTAACAAAAACAGGTTAAAGTCATTTTTAAAAGTAAGCTGAAGCTCATGTTGTTGTACTGTTATTATGTGTGCAGTAAATAACGAGGAGAGGCTCACCAGTTCCAACCTGTGTCCTGAATCTCTCCTGCAGCCGGCTCACCAGAGCCGACAGGATATCCATCCCCAGTAAAACCACCTGAAACACACACACCATCACACGGGCGGTTAAACTGATCCACAGTGACTCCTCCTTCAGCGCCGGCAGCTCCACAGCGCCGCAGCAGCACAATATTTGAATATGAGCCGCAAAGGCTTATGGGTAACACAGAAAGCAGCGGTTTCAGCTCTAAAAAGGTAGAAAAAGGCCGAATAAAGGCTGCTGGTCTATCTGTGATGTGAGCTAACAGTGTGAACTGCGGTCCTGTGCGCTGAAGCGTTGACCTGATTGTGAACCGTGAGTGTAGCCACTGTGTAGATCTTACTATCAGCGCTTCCGGGGAAGAGACATGACTTTCCTTGTCATGGGGTGGTTCGGGAAACTCAATGAACGCGTAGTGAGAGCTTCCCTGCTGACACCATATCAACACATACGCACCACCTGAACCGCGAGTTCAGACCACGGTGCAATTTTTGGAAACTCTCAACAACAGAGAGCGATTGAGCGTGACTAATATAAGGGTGACTGAAATAAAACGACCGCCTCCGCTATGGTGCCATCTGCTGGACGGAGAGCGGAACGACACTGACGTAGATATTTGAACGAGTTAATTACAATCTATTTTCATTGTATAACAACACCATTCTTCTTCCAAGGACTTTATTTAAATTTATTAAGATACTTCGTTTTTATATATTCATACTCAAATGTGTTACATATTTACCTGTAAGCTCTTATATACTTGGAGTGATATTCACTGAGCGTCTTTTAAATTTTATATAATTTAAAACAAACAAACAAAATTATATATTTATATATAAAAAATTTATATAAAATTATTAAACCAATTATTGTCTCAAAATTTCATGTTACTGACTCAAACTTTGGAGAAAATAACTTGAAATTTTGCATTATTAAGTCACACTTTTTAGATAATAACCCAAATTTTCATATTAGCTGTGGTTTTGTTTTGTTATTTCAACTAATGATTGTTTGCTTACTAATAAATCGACTGTGTATCTATAAAAGAGTAAAAGATGGGTATTTTCACTGATTCTGACAAAAAATATTAAATACATCATGATGTTAGAAGTGACTCAAATGATTAACTGATAACAGTTTTTTTTTCCTGCATATGAAATCTGTTGGTGTCCACTAAAGGAAAGCCACTGAGGTCACTTATTTTGGGGTAGGTCTCACTTACATAAAATACACCTTTGTTTATTAATTGTGCAATGAATTAATTGTGAAATATGAGGAAAATGCTTTGACATCTTATAACTAAGGTATTATAGACTCACTTTTATAACCGTATGCAGACTGATGGAGATTTGTGGTTCATTCTGAGTGGGAATAATCTGGATTAAGAAAAACACTTTCAGGTTTACAGGGATCTGTTTAAATTTTTCTTACTTACTGTCACATGTCTCCCGAATAAGAAGTGGGATTCATATTAAACATTGCAACACTTCAAATATGTAAACGCAATCCCAGAGAAGCTAAAGCTCAGGTTTCAGACTGCTCTGAACACTCAGTTTATCACAGTGTTTTCTACTCTCAGCTCCATATCATATCACAAAGAGCAGATATGTAGTCCAAAATATGACCTTTAACCTTTAGATCACCCAAAAACATCTGGACATGAGTATGTGAAGAGGAGAATTGCTGGCTTTTCGACATGATGATAAGTGAATATCTTTGGATTTTGTGTGACATTTGAATAATTCGACTACTACAAATAAAATGAGTGTTTCTGACACTTGATCCACTAAAGAGAGGAAAATCAATGTGGAGATGAATCTAAACATGTGTCCATTATTCATATCATCTTAAATCCCTCCCTCATGTTTAAGCACTTCACTTTTGCCATAAGAGGCTGCCCATAAGCAGCCTGTATTTACAGCTGCTGGACAGCCTTTTAATTTACATCAGAGGCCTGTGATCGATAACACGACCATTATCCTAACAGCTTGAAAGAGCCCTCCTCCATCCTTCACACTCAGCGCTGGAAGGTTTTAGTGCCCTGTTAACGGCAGCGACTGCTGGAAGCTGAGTCTCTGTCAGACCTGCTGGCTCGCTCACACAGAGCAGGAAACTGGGCTAATGGTGCTGGTAAATTAAGCTTGCCTCTGCCGTGCTCGCCTGGGAGCCTCGCCGTCCTCGTACGGCCCCACAGACATCACCAGACGACAGAGGCTGTGTCCAGGCAGCGCGGGATGCAGCGATACGATTGGTCCGTAGTGTCTGCTGCTCTTACTACTGAGTGAAATGATGCCACACCAGACTCCAGTGAAAAATCCGGCATTTAGTTAATAAGACTAAAAGTTCAGCAGCCTTCAGGAGCTGTGATTCACATCAGAGGGTTCCTTTGGTAGACAATGGTGCAAACATCTATTTGTAAAACAGATGTTTATAAAAAAAACAAACCATCTGGTCTTCCACCAAAGCATTTTTACCATGGGGGTTTCATTCACTGAATATTAACACCGTTTGTTTTGTTTTTTTGTCTATCAGACAGGAAAAAACCTTCTATTAATCAGGTAACACAGACTCTACCTATATCAGAAACAAATCCATAAATTTGTCCTGACTTCCTCCCTCAACTCCAACTAGTCGTACTGTTAAAGAGATTTTTTCCTCCACTGTCGCCAAATGTTTGTTCATAGGGGGGCCGTTTGATTATTGGGGTTTCGTTGTGTTAGTATACGGTCTTTAACTGAATGTTGCTGTGAATTGCTGCTATATAAATAAAAGTGAACTTAACTGAACCCAACAAAAATACGACCATGAGAAGAACATATGTGAAGGAAACCTGAGAGACATTACAGAAGCCTCAGATATGTTGGACGGTTTTTCCCACAGTCTGGCTTTGAGTTTTAAGGCATTTAATAAGTAATATTAGAAAAGAACTGGGTAGCTACATGTAGTTGTATAAGAAGCAGAGCTGGTGAAAAATGCAACAGTGAGTAAATCCATCATCAGGGTCAGGAGCTCTGTAACTGTCCTTAGATGCTCTATGATTAATCAATTATGTGCTTTATTCAGCATCTGTTTGGCTAAGTCTGGCACATTTACCTTCTATCTGACCGGCGTGAAACACGAGGTTCATTGACAGTTTCGTTTGTTTAAACTACACAAACTTAAACAGCAGATGGTTGTTTTTGTTTTATTTTGCATATTTGTGGAGTCAGCACGACTCTGATTGTCCTCTCTGGCACCGTTGCATTAAAAAGTGACATCACAGCCTAAAGCAGCTCTACATTACTGTGCACTACTCCCATCTCTATGATTAACCAGCACCAGCGGCGGCGCAGCAAACGTCATGTACAGCATGCTAATCGAGCAGCACGGGAACCGGGCTGACTGCAGCTGAAGGTAAACAGGCTGGTGGGTTATTCATCAGCTCTCAGACAGAGCAGCGCTCCACGAGGAGCTGCGGTAATAGCATCGACGGTTTCAGGCTCAAACACACACGAGGTGGAAATAAGAGGCAGGAAGACTAAGTACCACCTTAAAAAACGACAATAAAAGAAATCAGAATTCTGGACTCTATTTTCTTCTATTTAACAGAAAGGATGGTTAGATCTCCTTCAAATGGCACCGTACACTAACACAATCTGAAACCAAGAAGCACTGAAAACTGCTCAGCAGGCTTCACCATCATTTTCAAAGCTTACCCCAAGAAGACTTTGCATATCACTAAGTTGTTAATAACTATCCTGGTCCTAAAATAACCAGAAATTCAACTCTTAACTTCAGTCATTTCTCAGGACATCAGCTGACATTACAAAGATGTTCATTTGTCAACAGGAAGCCAAACATTACAACACATCTGGAGGGTAAAGATAACACAATAAACACCACACTTGTATTTATGGGCTGTTTGGCCAATTCTCTATTTTATCGAGCTGTTTAAAGCCATGTTATTACAGTCGGTTTTAATATTTTTGGTTTCCACAGCTCAGGAATCCCACCTTCTCAGAAGGAATACAGTGGCTCTCATCGTGACTAAACTGAGTGTTTCCTTCCCAAAACACCAGCCATTCAGCTCTCTTTTATTAAAGACACTCAGTGAGGATGAGAAACCTAATGAAATGGTGTGTACAGTTAACACACCCAGCCAACACTCTAAATTAAGGCACTTCTCCAGCCGAGTTTCACAACTAAATAAAGCACCACTCCCTCTGTACTGCAACAGCTGAGGCTGAAGTGCTGTATTCACAAGCACGCTGACAGATGTGAGGACTGGGATCTTTTTTTTCTTTTTACCCCATCTCACCCTCCAGCTGCTGCTGCTCTGCTCACCTGAAGTTGCTGGAATTGACCCAGGAGCTGGCCACGCAGTCCACCATCCTGTCCAGCATGCTCTGGTCCTGCTCCAGCTCCGGGACCTCTCCTCATCCAGGATCAGCTCCATGACCTCCTGGCCCACCTGGAGCCTCTTCCCCAGGTCCTTCTGCGTCACCTGCTCCAGCAGGTACTCCATGCTCACCGCCTCCACCTCCTCCTCCATGGCTGCAGGAAGCAGACTCCCCAGGTGGTCTTGTTTTCCCTCCTCGCCCTCCTCACCTGTGTCCAGCAGAGGTGTTACAGTTGGCAGGACCTGCAGCAGGATTCGTACACGGCGCTTGTGCTTAGGAGGCAGCTAATGTGGAAGAAGGAGAGAGCTCCAGGCTGTCCTGCTGCGGAGGGCTGTGCCCGCATTGGGCTTCATTCTCCTGCACAGCTTTGCTGTGATTTAATGAGGGGGAGAACAAAAAAGGCGAGAATTAGAGCCAAGTTTCCACAACTATCACCTCCAGATTAAAAGACTCCAGCCTGCTGACCTCCAGATCCTAGCGTGGTCTTAGCAGTGCCTCTGTGCTTTCAGCTAACGGGCCGTTAAGGGGCGCTAACACAGGTGACCATTAAGTTAGGTGTCAGGACAGTTTAACTGAGCTGTTAGCTTCAGCTGCTAGCTCGCTGATAGCCTGCTTTCTATCCAAAATACAGCCGAGCTGGTGCTAGCTATGCGGGGAAATTCAACCCTGTTCTCCCCGCAGGAGAGCCGTGAACGCCTCTAACCTGTCTCTCGGACTCCTGGCGGCTTAATTAACTAGTTATTAATTCAGCGACCGGCTGTAAATCCACTCACCGGATGGACTGACTCGTTCCCAGGGAAAAAAGTCAGAAGTGGCGATGCTGCCTCCGGCCACAAACTACCGTTACTTTCCTCCGTGGGGCTGGGCGATCACTTCCTCGCTGGTGAAATCTTAATCTTCTGGCAGCTCACGCCATCTCTGCGCTTCTAACCTCTCACCTCTCTAATTGACGAGCTGCCCGCTGCTAATGAAAAAGGGGAAGATTATTATTTGCCGTAGTAAATCAAATCATGACCCTGCCAGACGCCGTAGAGTCCTGCAGCGAGTCGAGTGAAGCCGCATAGTCGCGACACCTCCCGGCAGAAGCGCGCAACTACAGCCGGAGGAGGGCGTACATGGTTGGGAGGGCTCTCCCGTCAGCCTCAGGTGACCCCTTTTAAAATTCAAGGTGTGCCTGTCAGAGTCAAGAGTGTCATCCGGGCCCAACTTGGCTCCGAGATGACAACAAAAATTATTTATTTATTTTTATGGTGAATGAGAAGTTAGAGAGAACTGAGTTTGGAGACCACTGCTTGTTGCAGATCTCAAAGGTTAGAGACAGGGCCTGCATTTTGATCCGGTTGTCTAAAAGTCTCAGAAGAAGTCACTATGCGCACTGTGAACGTAAGGGCTGTATATGTGCTGATTTCTTAGATTTGTTTGGCATATTTGTCACACTTGCATGTTTCAGATCATCAAGCAAATTTTAATATATTCTTTTAAAAGATAAGCCAACTAAATATAAAATGCAGTTTTGAAATGATGATTTTATTTATTGGGGGGGGAAGCCATAATCTGGCCGTGTGTGAAAAAGAAATTCACTGCAAATTAGCTGTGATTAACCACTTTTTTGGAAAACTGAGTTCAATTTGAATTAAAACAGAACATGTATGACAAAATGAGGCAGGCTAAAAGAGTTGAAACAGCTACAGAAACAGCTGAGAAACAAAGTCACTGGCATCTATCAGTCTGGAAAAGTGTTAAAAAGCCATTTGTAAGGCTTCAGGAGTGCAGTGAACCAAATAAAGAGCCATTTTACACAAACGGAGTAAACTTGAAAGAGTTGTGAACCTTCCCAGGAGTGACCGGGTAACCAAAATTACTCCAAGAGTGCACTGATGACTCATCCAGGAGGTCACAGCAGAACCCAGAACAACATCTACAGAACTGCAGGCTCACTTGTCTCAGTTAAGGTCAGAGTTCATGATTCAACAATAAGAAAGAGACTGGGCAAAAATACTCTGTGGACTGATGAGACAAAAGCTGATCTTGAAGATCCTCCACAGTGATGACTCATTGCTAGTTATCGCAAACACTTGATGCTACCAAGTCACACAAGAACCATTAATGAGGTTTATAGGGCAATCACTTTTTCACACAGGGGCAGGTAGGTTTGGATAGCATTTTTCACTCAGTGAAGAAATAATTTTGTATTTACTTGTGTTATCTTTGTCTAGTGTTAAATGTGTTTGATGATCTGGAACATGTAAGCATGACAAATACACAAAAACTAAGAATCAGGAATGATGTAAGTAAGTAAGTTTCCGTGTTTCATGAACGCCCCTGCAGCTTCAGAGTGAGGGTCTGACCTCTATGTGGTTAAAAGAGCCTCGTCCATCTCAAGAGAGTCATGAATAAGCCATGTGACAGCCAGGGCCCTATCAGGGATAAGTCTTCACATCAGGGAAAAATAACACCAAAGTGAAACTAAAATACTGTGGAACAAGCTGGATAGTTCACTCATTACAATAAACAGTGAAGGAACGTTTTACTTCACCATCCTTTAAGATTTAGTAGCTAAACCTTTAATAATAAATCCCTTTGGAAGACTGTCACCAATAACAATGTGAGTAAGCATAATTATGACTTATTATCTCTTAATTACAAGTTAGTATCTCACAGGTTGATGGAAATTCTCATAACAATCATTTAGTGTCTCATAAGAGATGACTTTAGTATGATAATGAACTTTATTGTCATACTCATGAATGTCTTTCTTGGCGATGCCTTCATCATATCTTAAAATTAGGATTTAGCATCTTCTAATTAATAATTAACAATGACTTAATGCCTCATATCAGACAATAATGAGCCTAAATATCATAATTATGACTTGCTCACTCTTTTTTAATTTGTATCCAGCGATGTAATACAAATGCTCAAGGTTATGACTTAAATGTCATTATTGTCATATTTTTGTCATAATATAAAAACGTTATTAAAGTGTCATAACAACAAGTTTCACTTGTATTATTAGTTCATTTGTGGCCAGTTTCTGAGTGTGCTGCGAGATAAAGACTCCAACACCACACATGTAACTGCAAATTAAAGAGCTGTTTTATGTAATAACAACATAAATATCAGTCAGACTGAGGATATAACAGGTTTTTATAAACATGTAGTTGCTTTATTTTGCCTTTGGGGGCAGCACTGAGTCTCTGTTGCTGTATGTCCCTGCAGGTGATGGAAGAAGTGTGAGAACATCTAAAAAAACAAAAGACTCCCATCATTGACAACCGGTCAGTGCCAACCCACATAAAACACACTCTCACACACATATACTGTGCTGCTGCTGACAGGCAGTGGGGAGAGGCGGAGATGCTGGTGCTGCTCCAGGTCATGTACACCGACCTGGACTTCCTGACGGAATTCCACATGGAGCTGCAGAATTTCCTGTTTGAGAAGTACTGTCTCTGTGTCACCCAGATGGCTGGAAAACCAGGAGGGAAACACCTTTACCTCAGAAACATAAACATCAATTAAATTCAGGAGAAGTTGGTGTTTTTATATAAAAACTGCTGTTGGTGCGTCTTGGACTCTAAAATCAAACACATAAAAAAGCCTGAATGGAAATAATATTGCAGTTATGTATCTTTTAAAGTGTAGCTTTGTGTAGGGCTATTACTGACAAACACAGCTGATGTCCACATCATGGACCACATACAGGAAGTTCAAAGGAAGTCTACACGGTCAGGTTTATAACATGGCGGTCTTAACATCGGGATGTGTCTCCCTGTGGTTAATGTGGATTTATCTCAAATGCAATGCTCAGACCATCTTGGCTCTGGAGAACCACCGCTGTGCTGTCACCTCTGTCCGCGGTACATCAAAAGCACGAGTTCAGCTGTTCATAGCTACAGAGAAAACACGTTTTAACTGTGAATAGTAATGACACAAGGTAAAAGCAGCAGCTTTAAGTTTGGCTCTAATAAACTGCACCATGTTAATCTTACTGCTTTGATGCAGAAGCAGTTTTGTGCAGATCAAAAAGTTGGTATTGAAACACCGAATGAAACGTTTAATATGTAAAGATATTAATGTGCTCAGACAGTTCTGTTTGCATAAGAGATAATTAAAGATAATAAAAGCAAGATCCAAATGAAAAAAACAAGCAAACAGAAAAACTCTAACACAGTGCAGAGGAAGAGTTTTTATTACAGAGTTGGAGATGGAGAGAGCCACCAAAGAGGAGGAAGTGCCCAGTCCACAAATTGTTGACTCTTTCTTGAAAGATTACTGGCTGTGTTGCATCAGAAATCTTAATAAATACAAATGTGTGGTGTTAATCTTACCGTTTTTATGGCGTGTTTGGATTCAGGCTGCTTTTAATGTTTGATGATCTTTAAGAAAGGAGTTAATGCTTCTCACTTCAGAGCAGACTGTCTGTTTGATCGATTGTATCTATTTTGTAAGGTCACAGAGGGGCTGGAGCGTATCCCACGGCGACAGGTGAAGTCAGAGAATAACCACACTTAAATTAGGTGAAGCTAATGTGGACGTGTTTGGACTGTGGCAGGAAACAGACAGGCTTGTCAGGAGGTCTGAACGACCAGCGCCATCTGGTGGACTAATCCAGTTCATTTAAACAGATGGATGCTTTACTGATCCCCCTGATGTGAAACAGTGAGTAAATATTTTTAATATTTTTTTAAAAATTGGATCCAGTTTTGATTAAATTACTGTTGATTCTGTGTGATTAGAGTTTTTAAAAGCTTCTAAGTAAAAAATAAATAAAAAAGGGAGTCGAGTTTATTCTGAGGTTAAGTTCAAAGTTTTCGTTTGTTCTTCAGTCCCTTTATTTCCAAAGCCCACAAACAAAAGTGCAGATGTGTGATTTCTACCTCATAACCACCCACCATTCAAATAAAACGTGGAGTTGAATGTTATCCTGTCTGAAACGCACTAACTTAACAAACACTAAACGTTTAGGTATTTACAGCACAGAGAGCTTTCCGGTACATTCTGTTGGCATTTGTCAAAGAAAACACTAAACGGACGAGTTTCCCTCAAAGGTTCTCGTCTGTGTGGAGTGTCAGCAGCACCCGTGTCTTTCCACACCAACACAAACACAATGAGCACTGAGCGCGCTCAGATCAGCTTTAAAATGACCTTCGTGGACACATT